ATCTAAAGGTTTTAATCTGTTACTGTGTAAATGGGTTTGGCTATAATTAAAGGACAGATTCTAATATATCTGCAGGGTGGGGACTATAAATCTGATAGGATTTTTATCTTTTTATTGCTGTTTTGCACAATATGCTTAACTACGTATATTTGTTGTTGAATATTAGAGATTTTGCAGATATATTTTTTATAAATACATTGTTTAGATTTACTTATATCTTTCTACCCCTTTTATAGAATCAAATAGAAAATCCCTTTATTGTCCCACAATGGGCAAATTTACAGCAGCAGAAAGATTATTGAAAATGGTCACACAAATGTGGACCTTAGAAAAATGTATAAGAATAACATAATAGGGAAGAGTTAAAATATAAACAATACAATACTGTAAAGTGTTTTAACAATATAAAACTGGGGAATAAATAACCAATATCCAGCTATGGACATTTTTTACAGTAATGGATATTCGAAAATAGCAGCAACATCAGAGATGTGCAGAATGACAGCAGCAGGTTATTTAACTGACTAAGGTTTCTATCATTACATTTGATTGGATTTGTTCCTGCTCCTGGTGGTTGGAACATTTATTCTATTCTGGATTCTTGTGAGTGTAGTCTTTGTTCACTTCACAATAAAAAAGAAATAAATAAACAGTTTTGAAAACTTCTGTATTCATTCTTTTCCTGCTTTGTGTGTCAACGTTTACGGTTGCTAAGCATCAGAGCATACGGCGGTAAAACCCGCCGAAGGGAGGACCTGGTCGAATTCACAGCCTAAACTCTTCCGGTCTCCTTATTTTCAAGGACTTCGAAGGATCCAGTCTAGGTAGACCGCGTCCTTGGAGGACACGTCCTAGGTTTTCGAACAGAGCCCATAATTGTTGATACTTTCTACACTTATCTACTGATTTCATCTACATGTCCGCGCCATGGCAGAGAAACTCAAACAAAAAAATGTGGCATCTCAGAAACTGCATGATTTTTTTTTCCAAAGTAAAAGAAAATGTGAAAAAAGTTCAGAGATGCTGCAATGAGATTGATAGCAACACTGCAACTGTCCCCCAGCTGATGCTTTCTTTAACTAATAGTTCTGCATTTTGTCCTCATAGGTGGCTGCTTGCATTATAAACACATCTAAAAAGCTGTATAATGTTGTAATTTATTAAGAATGATATGACTGAATATATGTAAGTAGTAGTGATTGACTCTTGGAAACATCAGAGCAGTTGTCAGAACTTACCTTTTACCTTTCATGAGTACATTTGACCCAAAAGTGGTTTGATTGCTCATGAAAAGCAATGTGGGGAGGGTCACTAAAAGCAGGTAGCCCACTTTTTCTCTTTGAGCTTTTGTTGGTTTTATTTCCATTTTGTGTTATTAAAGATATTTTTGTTTGTGTGCTTATGTATTTCTTGTTTACCTTTTGTTGCTCTCTAGTGTCAGTCTCCTTCTCATAGCTCCCTTCTTGATTCCTCTCTCCACACCTGCTCCCAATCTGCTGATTAGCCTGGTCTTTGTTCAGTCTCCCATTTATGCACCTCCTTCTCAGTCACTGTTGGCTGGTTCCTTGTCATCATTTCTTTTCCCTTCACCTGTGTTTTCTTGGATTTCAGTATTTTGTTATTTTTGGATTTTTGCTTCAGTGGCCACCTCTTGTTATTAAATCTGCAAGAAATCAGCGTCAGTCTCTGCATTTGGGTCCTTCAAACCTCCACTCAACCTGACGCCCATGGGTTATGCACAAATGATGGATGTTTTGATTGATAGTCCCCCTGCACCTGCCTACCAATTTTGCAAAGGGCTACCACCCTTGTTGGCCATATTAAAAGGCTCTAGGCTGCTGTGTTCCACAAGTGACAACACAAGCTGCATTGATTATATGCCTTGATAAAGTAGTAGGGTGTCAAATTCAATAATTATACAAATAATATAAATCATTTATATTATTTCTATATTAGTCATTTCTATGTTAGTAAAGAACATGTTTTGGTCTTCAGTCCGGCTAATATTTCCATAAACATGCAACATTCAACATTCAACAATGACCGCAGAAGTGGCAGCATTATGCTGTGGGATTTTCTATAGAAGCTGAAAATGCAGCATGATATGTCATATTAATAATTTATTATTTATCCTTAATTGATATAATAATCATGGGATACAAAGTCATATATTTTACTTTTAAAGTTTGGTATGAAATTCTTTGTATAAATCTCAGAATTGTAGAAGTAGAAATTATGAGTTTGTTGCTCATATTTATCACTTGGAATCTCATAATAAAGTGAAATCCATGACTCTTAATCCCAATCATGACACTATGAACACTATGAATTATCTTATAACTGTCAAATAAAAAATTTACCAAAAACAAATTCAGCTTTGTAATGCCATTGTTTGCTATTTAGCTGTTAAATCAAGTGTTTTTAACAGAAAACAGAAAAAAAACTGCAAGTTTTCTGAGTTTCCTTCATTGTCACTCCCTTCTCTCTCCTTAATAAAAACAAAAGGATCATCACAAACAAAATATGACACTAAAGAAACTGAAACATACTTTTCTTAAGGGTTGTTCGCTTTCCAATATATATTTTATTAAAATGTAAGGAAAAGGATGGCTCATTTTACAAGAAAAAATAAATCAGCAACGCTTTAATATTCAAACAGAATACCATCATGACTCTCATTAGTTCTATACAACATATCATGTACTACATAGATTATAGGTTTAGAAAGTAGTGGCATTATTTTTCTTAATAAACAGCAAACATCTATTCTTAGTGCGTATGTCTATGTTTACTATTAAATACATAACTGTGCACACTAAGTTGATTTACTGCAGAGATCAGGAGCCCCTAACAGCAAGGGTCATTAGTATTAAATTTATTATATTTGTGCTTTTCAAAATATCATTTAAATTAGTCTTACATTACACTTTATGTAGAAAACAATGTTCATCTCTCAAAGTGCAAAACCACATTTTTTTCTTTTTGTCATCAAACTTTCCAGGTTTGCCTTTTTCTCTAGAGCATGACATTACATCCAGACACAACCTTCTCTTTACCTGCCCTTACAGCTCGTATTGCATACATTCAGTATCCGTGTCCCTCGTGCGAGAGTCTATAATGAAAATATGGCTAGGGTCTTTAAGTTATTTTTCTATCTATTTTTTCTTCTTCTTTTTTTGCTTAAAGAGATACCACAACAACGGTCTAAGGCACTCAAAGTCAGTGGTCCACAGGTTCTGCTCAAGGACATGTACAGTGCTTTGCAAAAGTAATCATATTCTTTAAACATTTTCACATTTTGTCATATTGCAAACACTTCAGTATGATTTAGCGTGAATTTGCGAAATGGAACAACACTAATTGAAAGCTAATTGTAAAGTAGAGAGCAAAAAAATGCATGGCTTTCCAATTATCCATCCAAAAATGAGAATCATATGGCACAACTTCAAAGCTAGTGAAGCATAACCAGAGCATTAATCAGAGAAATAGATAGGAGGCCCGATGTAACTTTGGAGGAGCTGCAGAGATCCACAGCTAAGGTAAGGGAACGTATTAACAGAAAAACTATATATCTTGAAGTTGTGCTTTATGGAAGAGTGGAAAAAGGAAAACAACTGTTAAGAAAAAGGTATTTTCCAAATGCCTTAAACAGGAAATGTGGAAGATGCTGCTTTGGTCAAACGAGGCCAAAATGGAAATATTTGCACCACATACAAAACAAGATCTTTGACGGATATCTAAAACTGTTAATTATCCAGCAAACGTCCCCCACAGAGCAATACATGCTTTTAGCAGCATTGGGAATATTTTTCCTCTCCAGGGACCGGAAAGCTGGTGTCTAATCACAGAAAGATAAAAAGCAGGAAAACAGACATAAAGTATCGACAATTGCCACAATGATAGAGATCAAGTGTTAAAATTTAGACCTGGATCTGAATGTTTAGGGGATCCAAATTTAGTTGCAACAATAGACTTTATTTGAAAAAGAGTTATTTTGTTGTAAATATAATGCAGTAAAAATGCATTAGGTTGTTTAGTTTTAATTAATTTTAATAAAATAGAAAACTTTTTGTGCTGCATTGCATCCAGGGAAAATTATATATGCTAGGTCCCAAAGTACAAGCTCAGTTTAACCAAGGCAGCAATGAGTAACAGTGAACCTTTTCAGTTTGAACTGCACCATGTTGGAATTGATAAGAAAAAGGTAATAATAATTTAATCATGGTGATTTAAAACGTTTCTTAGATATGTTAGAGCAATGTCAGAAAGATGTTTTACTTTCACTTTGAACAGTCATTATCTTACGATTTGATTTTAATTTCCCCTTATCTTCTGCTAATGGTGTTAGCTCTAGCTAATATGATCAACGGTAGATCACTCGTTGATTGCATCTGTTTGTTTCAATAGATATCAATAACTCAGGTAATGTTATCCTCCCTATGTTTACTCTGTAGGTTCCAGTCAAGTAAGACCTAATTGCGTTATCAACCCAGCACACTGCAAAAACGATCCCAAAATGAGTAAAAATTTCTTAAATTAAGTGTATTTTCCCTTAATTTGAGCAGGTAAATAAGATGATTTGCCAATGGAATGAGTATTTTTACTCTTAAAATAAGCTATCTAGATATTATGCACTTGAAATAAGATAATGCAATTGTTTTCTTCTTGTTTAAAGTGTAAATTGTCTTGTTCCATTGGCAAAGTTTCTCACTTCAATCCTTAATTCAAGAAAAAATGCACAAATTTTGCACAGGTTAAAAATGGTAACCTCCCTACAACAAATTATAATTTTTTAGGTAATTATGAGTTTTTAAGTATAACAAACAGCATTTTTTAAAGTAAAAAGAAAATTGCATTAATTTTGGGCCAGCAAGCTCAACTACCCATGGATCCCGTTAATACACAGAACTTGAAATGTAAATTTACGAATAGATGAGTTATTGTATATAATAAGGGCTGGCAAACAGGTCATATCCTTTCTTTCACTTTCTTTCTCAGAATCCATACAAAATAATTTAAGCTCGAAGCAAAATGACAAAATGTGAAAAGATTTTTTTTTTTTTTTGCAAAGGACTAAATAACCAGAATGACAACGAGAAGGACAAAATATTCACAACAGGCCTTACTGCTTCAACAAATACAGGTAAGATGATGAGAAATCTGAAATGGAGCACATGATTCATCATGTCTTTGCTAAAGTAAAGCTGCTCAGACATCAGTTTTAGTTATCAAGATGAAGTCCATCTTAGTTCTGAGTCCAGAATGCATTTAGAAACGTGAACCGGGACATCTAAGAGGCACAGTGATGTTCTGGTTTAGTCAGTTTCTGATTTAAAGTCAGGATTGTTGTCCCGCAAAGCCTGAGAGGAGTGAACCTGCTGGTAGTGACACACAGCATCTGGTTACACGACAGCCGTCATCACGGCCGATACGTTTTGATGACATCCTTAATAGGCCTTCTGCATATCGGGCAGCATGCGTTGATTTGTCTCTTCAGCTTTTGTCCGCAGTCGTTGCACAGGCACATGTGTCCGCATGTGTAGATGACGGTGTCCACCTCCTGGTCGAAGCAAATGGTGCATTCTCCATTTTTCCCAGCAGGGGGCAGCTCAGAGGCAGCCAGGGAGGGAGAAGTGGGGGGGCTGAGAGGCGAGCTGGGAGCAGTCACTGGAAGGAAAGAGAATATACTGAGATGAAGATTATATGGGAGGAAGAGGATGCTGCTACTGATGGGATGTTTTAATGTAATTATTAGTTAATCATACTGAACATTTTTAGCTAAATGTTATCACCAATAACCTTTTTAGTTAAAGCCTAGCTTTATAGATGCATACATTTAGGAAAACAAACATATTTCCTGCAATTTGTCAGGACTGCTACACTTCTAACTCCTCCTGAGGGGGCTTCATACTGACTTCCATATATACAGTAAGGTATAATTCATGCTGTCAACATCTGGCGTCATACCCAGAGAGGATTCTGAGGCAGAGGAGGATCTGTTGACGCTGAAAGCCAGGTCTGAGTCACTGTCATCTGGGCTGCTGCTCTGAGAAGTTGTGGGGGATGTGCAGGGAGGACTGGACTGCAGTGTTCCTGTGCCACAAAGACAATTATACATCAATAACCTCCACATAACTTCCTTCCTATCAATATAAGGTGGGATTCTGTTAGAAAATATATTACACATGAGCTAAAATGAATGACTTCCGCCAGAATGCAAAGCCGAAGGCTTTACCTTGACATTGCCCGACCGGACGGATTAGAGATACATGCTTATTCATTAGATCAATTCCCTCACAGTCCTCTATTCAGAGCAGAACATTTTTGGATTAAAAACAAGAGAGAATGGGCTCTGGTCTGGTGGGACTTTACAGACCACAGGGACTGAGAGGTCATAGCTTAAAGTTAAACAGTCCAAGGAGGAGAGAATCTACTCGGATGAATTCCTTTAGCCTGGGAAAGAAGATAGTCAGGAAGTGCTCATTTGGTCTGTGCTATCCAGCTTTTAACATAAAGGAGATCAAATATAAATAGGCAGTACGTTATGTTTAGTAACATACTTTTTAAAGGTTTCTGATAAGCAAAAGTATATTGTAATGAGAACCAAACTTATAAAAGCGAGCAATAATTTGTTTTCTAATTGTGATAACTTGAAACACGCATCACCCCCTTAATGAAAACCACCCGCTCCTGCAAAATCTAATGAAGGATGAGCGAATTTGGTAGAACTGTCAGCATATAGGTGCCAGTATTTTTTTATTAGCTTATCTAAATACAGAATATTGTGTTATCCTTGAGAAATAAACTCCTGAGCGAGAAAATCAGCTAATGACTTAAATCCAAGCTTTAATCATCCAAAATTTGTTGGTGTTAATGACCAGTCATAACAAATACTGAAATAAATATGTATTTTCTAGAGAGAAATATCCATGGCTAAAACTTAAAGAAAGAATAAGACTTTCAGCAGATAACAAGAAGGCTGAAAATATTACAGACATATATCTCTATTTTACTCTCTTGAACTTTAAATCTCATTCTATTTTGGAACAAGGTTTGTACATTTAAGAATTAATATAAACGTTTATATTTTGGGGGGAATTGCTACTTAGACTGCTTTGTAAAGATACCAATGCTATGAGCTCAAATAAACTTAGTTTAGCTGGTTAACAGTGGCTCCTCAGACAAATAAAGCATGACATCAACTACTAAAGAGAAATCTTCTAATTTTTGTATTTTGAGGTGAGAAATAAAAAAGGTATAAGAAATCTTCCACTCTGCTACTCTAATTGGTGCCTTTTCCTCTTGTGTGCACCTTGATCAAACAATTCGAATCACAATTTGTCGTAGAAATTGTAAAAAAGTAGTGTCATAGATATAATTTCTGGTATTTTCATATCAATCTCCATAGAGTATTGTTAACTACAGGCTCCTTTAGTTCAATATAAAGTGTTGTGGTGATTGCTGCACCAGTTCTCTTATTGCTTTGGGCTCTTTATATGCTTTAAACACACTTACCGAGTATCCGGAGTCTGTTTACAGCCCCATGCAGGGTGAAAAAGGCCCACAGGACTTGAGAGGAGTCCACACAGAGAAGTCGGCCCCGGCTAACTCCGTTCACCCCATGGTGCACCTCTCCACTGGGCAGTAGACTGAAGCTAAGAACGTCTCCAGAGCAGGGCATAGGGAATCCCCGATGCAACACCCAATACTCCTTCCGGTCCAGAAGGACCTCAGGGTCGGCTGGCAGGTCTGCAGAGTGCAGACAAGCTGGGTCACAGGATGTTAAACCAAACGACATTGCCCCAAAGTAAGGCAGGCCCAGGTGGCCCACCTCTACATACAAAGTTTCCCCCAAGTGCAGCGGCCGGTCACTGAACACCAGAGTCCGACTGCTGTCCAAGAAGTGAATACATGCAGCCAAGCGGTCTGCCGATAGAATCACATCAGATCCACGGATGAGGTGAAAGTGCAAGTCATTGTCTAGCAGGGAGGGGAGGCCCCGGACCCCCCTTGGGAAGGCAGTGGAGACGGTTGAGGACGAGGTGGAGGTGGACGAGCAGCAGGGGATGAGCTGAGAGTAGCTGTTTAGCTGGAGGTTGGCCATCTTAGCAGCGGCCGCCTGGTTGTTCTCCAGCTGATTGTTGTTGTAATTGGCCGAGTCGTGGCTGCTCTGGGGCAGATAGGCACTCAGACGGGCCGCACTCAGGCAGCTAGACCCCACGCTCTCTGCAAATGTGCTGTCTGTGAAGCGAAATGTGAAAAAAAACAACAACAAAATTTTAATAGCTTATACATGGTCTTGCATATGTCCCAGAACACCTCTTTCCCTCTACTTTAATTAATTTTCTACGACAAAAAGGAGATAAATGTTGTCAGTGTTTGTCATGGATATCTGATTCAGCTAAATTTTACAACACTTCCTGGAAAATTGTAATGTTGGCAAGGGAGCAACAAAATCACCTTTTTTTTTAAAGTGTTTATAGGAACAGATAGCTCTGGGAATGTGCTGCTTGTTTTTTTCTCTGAATGTACACAGACCCATTAAACTAATTTACAACTTGTCGCACCACAAACTCAAATTTCATCTGTGAAGATCAGTGTTCAACTCTTGACCCAGACTCTCAGTTTCTTCTGTCATTTGACTTGACCATTTTTACACATGACTATGCTTTCATTTAAACTGCTCCATTGTAGCTTTGGCTGACATTTATTGGTCAAATTCCCGCTGGAAGGCAAACTCCGAATGGCTTAATATCCCTACTACCCGGCATCATCTCTTAATGATGAAGTATGGCCTACTCACAGCACGACACTGCCGCCACCATGTTTCCTAGCGGGTACGGTGTGTTCCAGCACGTAGCTTTTATATGATCCAGAAACGTTTTTCCACAAGCTTTCTTTGCGGCTGGATGACTTTTGGCAAACTGCAAAAAGAACTTCTTTCTTTCAACTCAGGCTTTTTTTTTTTTGCAACTTTACAAAAAAGGCTTTTTTTCCCCTATTTTTTTGCTAATAAACTGTATAAATAGGTGTCTTATAATTCTGTGGACATGTGCCAGTCATTATTTTGGCAATTTAGTGCACATTTTTGAAAAAAACTGCTTTTGTATCTAAAACTGTCTGTTTGGCGCCCTCTGAGGGAGAAGTGACATAACCAGCTCTACCCTGGACTGACTCGCTCCTCCTGCAAAGGGACCGACGAATTAAATGAGTTTCCTGTTTATAATGACGATTATGATTTTTTTTTTCTATAGTAAACAAATTCTATAAAGAAAAGTAAACATCTCATTATTGGCTTCCAAGCTTTGTATAAAAACAAGTCTGCATCATCTCTCCAGTCTAGTTTAATGAATCAACATCAGTTATTTTATTAGATCATTAAAAAAAACACATAAAATGGATTAAAATTTATTTCGACTATTGGTAACAAGAGATAAAAGTTATTTCTTTTTGTTTATCAACAGTGTTTGGTTCAGATATTTATCGAAGGTCCCTGTGAAAACCATGTCTGTAGGAGGCAGACAGAGTCTAACAGCAAAGTGTGAATCAGTTCAAGTGATATGAATACTTTTCAAGGAGCTATAGGGACCTGAGTGACATTGATATAAAAAAAAACGAGTCTGTTTCTTAGTAGAAATAAAAAAAACACAGTTTAAAACTGCCCTGATGTTTTTCTTAACCTCTTACACCCTCAGGGGATATAAATAAATTTCTGCCTGACAAAAACACACAAAAGTACATCACTTATAGCCTCACAGCTATTAGATTTAAGAAGAAACTTTTGGTACGTCTGTAAAGGTAAGATGTCATAGAATGGTTTTCTGGTGTCAGCACCATTGTAGCTTTGACCCTGCCTGAAATATTAGGGACAAAATACAAAATATTTTGCATTTTTTTGAACCTCGCCAAAATTTTCTTTGAAATAAACATTGCAAAAAACTACCAAAATATTATTTATAGCACAAAAAAGTAGTACAGACTTTTAAATCTAAATGTTGTGTAAAAATATACCAAATTTGGACTCAATCAGATGAATCATATTTATTTTAGAATGGTATTAGTGAGAAATTTCTTAGGCGGAGAGGCCATTTTGGCACATTTATCCATAAATGTCACCAAACTGTGCCAAATGTGTTTTTTACATTAATACTGGGGGTTTGTTAAAATTACGAGGTCACGTAGCAGCTGGACCCACCGGTGGGTCCGTAGGGTTCTAGGGGTTAAGAAGTTGATTTTATCATTCAATGTTTAATTTGTGCACATATTGAGTATCTCATAGTTTTTTTATGATAAGAAAATATGACAGCAGCCCTATAGATATTTCTCCCACAATGTTTACATCTGATAAATGCTGCACTTGAAATGGAAATGTCATGAGAGCTCTACTAAATGAAATTCCTGTAAACTATGTGTATAAAAAATGACAATAAAGGTTGTCTCTAAGTAATAACTGCTCTGATGTCGAGTTTTGAGTGGAACCCAAAAACACACAGGCAGATGGAGCCAACATAGATAGATCATTTTAAATCTTTAAAAACAGGAAAATGGTTTACATCCAAAGTGTAGCATAACTGGCGAGGAAAATCAGATGTTTTTTTCTAGGCTTGGGAGCAGTATTTACCTGTGTGGGCTAAAAGGTAAACGTTCAGAAATATGTGTGGAAACAGGGACATGAACAAACAAAGCTGATAACAGAACAAAACTACAAGATAAACCTAATGAATGAAACCTGAGATGAAAGTAACTGAAATAAGATCAATTTGAGAAAAAGGACTAAAGATGGAAAAAACACTAAACATTCATATAAAAATAAACCAATACGGCAAGACCCAAAAAGGCTAAGGCAAGACCAAAACAAAATATTTCTAAAATAAAACCTGAGAAGGAAAAATCCAAACAGAAATTTGAAAAGCAAACAGAAAGTAATATTTATATATATAAAAACAAAAAATCAAAAGTATCCATGATACTGACATTAAAACCAGAAAGGAAAATAAATAAAGATGTTAATTTTGGTCGGGTTTATTTTGCTTTAAGAAATAAGCAGAGCTTTACAGATCTCCACTAAATCCTGTTCCTTTCTTCAAAGCCACAAATGTTCCATACTGTAAGCATCATAAGCTGAAGGAAGAGCTCAGTTAAGCTTCTCTGTACTTCAGAAACAGACATAAACAAGACTGCTGCTCGTAGTCCCCCTCTGACTTATGATGCATTCCTTTACCACTATTTCTAGATATGTTGGAGCAGAAGAGCAGTCTGGCCGCTCACCAAAGCTCCTGGGACTGGCCGCCTTGACCAAACAAGGCTACAGCTTCTGTCAGGCTGAAGACAAACATGCCTGATGCGTAAGAGTGAAGACAGCAAAAGGGGGGGTGGAGAAGGTGGTGGAATTGAGGCCAGCTTAACTGCAAAAAAGTGACACAGCTCAGGAAAGTGATAGTAAGACTGTGTTATGAGTAGTAGTTGGGAGGGTGAATAGGCTGCGTGACATCTGTTGTTCATTTCTCTATGTCATGTTAGCCAATTTGAAACAAAGAGGCTCTGGTTTTTAAGACAAACACAGATCCGTTCTGACACACAGATCATTCATCATCGAGCCATCCCAGACCATTTCACCCGCTCCTTTCAAACCGACCCACAGGGCTGCAAAGCTGTGCCAAGCTTCCAAGAACCCCTCTACTTCATCTGTGAATACATTGACCCTATAAAAAATGTGTTTCTGTGGATTTAGAGGTTGTAAAAACACATGGTCCCAAGCTAACTGACTGGAATCCTGAATGTAAAAAACATCCACTACTCAGTGCTGCAGTGTTATGAAAAAATATTTGCACCTCTCGAATTTTTTTTAACATTTTCTCACATAATTATAACAAAACACAATATAGTTTATAGAGATACTTGAGAAGTGGGAGAAAAATGGGAGGAAAGGCATCCAAAGTTTTCCCCTTTACACTGATGTCACTAAATAAAATTTATTAAAAGCAGATGTCTTCAGATGCCACCTAATCATTAAATGTATAATTCAATCTCACTGTAGGCCTCCAAGAGACATAATTCTGCCCTTTGTGCGCTTATGTTTGAGTTTCTTTTTAAGTTTCAAGTTACACTTTGAATTATGTCATTCTTTGTCATTGGTTTCTTTTCCAATTTGTGATGTATTTTCTGAGTTAGTGCCCTGTCACACCTTTACGACTTAGACAGCGTATGCCTGACCTCCCAGAATCTCCTAAAACGCTGGCATACGCTGAACTTTTTATGGTTTCTTTCCAATTTTGGGTGTATGCATATCATATTCGTAACTACTGCAGAGCGTATGTCAAAAGACAGCCTAACTTATGCACCCGGAGATGCTCGGGCTGCATAAAAAGATTTCTTTGATTGCGGTATTAACCTAGCTGCTGTTTGCCGCCCATCAAATAAAAAGAATAAATAAAAAGAAAGAAAGAAGGTTTGCAATCACAGCAGATTCAGCTTCATATCTAGTAGGAAGTTTGTTGGTCTAAATCAGGCATCCCCAAAGTCGGTCCTCGAGGGCCACTGTCCTACAGGTTTTAGAGGTTTCCCTGCTTTAGCACAGCGGCCCTTGAAGACCGACTTTGGGGATGCCTGGTCTAAATCGTCAAGGTTTGACAGGGGTTTTACTCTCTGTCTCCCTCCCCCCTCATTGTGTCATTCTCCTTTCTCTTAGCTCCTTCTAGTTACGTCTGTCTACACCTGCTCCCAATTAGCTAATTAGTCCGCCCATTGTTTCTGACTCCCATATATACACCACCTGTTTAGTCACTCATTGCTGGATCCTTGTTATTAATATTGTTTTATTCCTCCTATTGTCTCTTTTTTTTTTTTGTTTTTTTTTTTTTTTGAGTACATGGGCTGCAGAGATGGAAACCCTTCCAGACATCCTAAAGCATTGATTCCAAAAGATGGAGTCATGACCCTACTTGAGGTCCTCGATCAACCAGTATGGGGTCTACAGAATCTGCAGCAGAAGTTAAACTAAACAATAAGCAGTTATGTTAAAGTGATTAAATATATAAAAGCATCACACAAAAATTGATAAAATCTACTACTTTGGTTGTTGATTTTGTGAAAGAATTTAGTCCCTTGTTAAATGATTCTGTAGAAATGTTTATATACTCAGCCAAATGTTCAGCTCTCGAGTCGATACTGGAACCATTTTATGGGTAAACAGCTGAAAAGTTTGGGAAGCTTTATTCTTAACATCAAAGTTGCCTCTCAGATCTCTTATACTGATTCATGGTGACTTTTCAAACAGAAAAGCTGGGATGCACAGCGTTAAAGGAGTAAGAACAATATATGGGTGAAGGTAGATTATGTTCCCAATAGAGCTTTTGCTTATAGGTAAAAATAGAGTTATTAATTCAAATTAAAATTGTATTTCTTTTGCTACAAGTTTTAAGGTAAGTTTTTATTTCTGTTCTCTAAAACAAGCTTGATATTTTAAGTTTTAATTAATGTCTGTTTTTGTAAAATTCTCTTTTTTCTATTCATCAGAGCTATTTCCCCTTAGTCGCTGTTCTTGCACTGCAGTTTTTTTGTATTGTGTTTTTCACCTTGCTGTTGGTGTTGGAACCAAAATAGATAAACCATGTGACACTTTTACTGTAAATAAACTGCATACTAGTTAATTTTATGGCTTGATTCAGAGATATATAGGGCACTGTAAACACTGCCAGAGCTGCAGTGAGTTTATAATAGGTGTGAATGGTCAGACTGTTGATTGCAACAACAGATATAATTATCAGAAAAACAAAATCAGATTTTGCTTAGGGCCTCATGGAGGCCTTGATTGGCCGTGGTGGGTGGCGAAGGCTTTAGGTTAAATAATAATAATTTGCCAGATCCCCCTCCGTTGAAAATGGCTGCTTCCAACCGGGCTCAGCTTGAGCTATTTTTCAAAGTAGAGTCAACAAAGAAAGTTGAAGCAGTAAGTTCTTCACTTCAAGCTTTTTTAACTCATAAAAGTGAAGAAATGCATCTATTTCTTTCAACTTTAAAATGTATGCACTGATTTGTGTTGGGCTCTGACATTTAATGCAAGTAGTTTATTTTGAGGCTTGTAGTTGTAACAGATGATCATTTCAATGGCCTTAAAGGTTCTACAAGGATAACTTGAGTTCAATTACAACAAAAACATGACTGTTTCTCATTATTAGCGTGACAAGATTCTTACCCAGCAGTGTGACCTCCTGAGTGATGCCGTAGATGTCAATGATTGCCCAGAGAGGACAGCCAATGCTGAGTCCACAGTGGAAGAGGATGGGCTCTCCATCATTGATGCTGTAGAAAACCCTCCCATGGCGGTCCGCCCAGAACGACAGCACGTTGTCCTTTAGGGCGAGCCTCTCAGGCAGGGCCTTTGCCCAGTAGCCGGGCCGCGTCACCAAGTCTGGGCAAGCGTACTTAGGGATGTCAGAGGCCTCCAGCTCACTTGGATCCAGACTAGTGAAACCAAAGCGCAGAGCTCCACTCCAGCCAGTGTGTACGCCAGAAAGACGCAGACGGACCTAAAAGTGGTAGATTTATTAAAACCTTGTTGCATCCTTGTCAAACCAATCTGGAAAGGGTAAACAAACCTTTTCATAAAGGTGCACAGGGCGATGGCTGAACGTGATGCCATTGCAGAAGCTGTTCTTGCGAGTGGCCCTCCGAAGCTGCCCATCCAGCCTGATGTTTTTCCCCCTGGCATGAGGATTAAAGCGCAGCGACTCCAAGTTTATGTTGACCGGAGGGACAGACGTTCTTCTCTCCACACCTGACCCGCTGTTGGGCAAAGAGTAGTACTGCCTGCTGGACACCGGGCGGGGATGCAGAGTAGCATCTGTGGGTGGTCAAACATAAGTTATTACAGAGGAGCCCACAGATAATTAGGTCAAAATAGTGCATCAACTCCAAACTTGTTTTTTTGTGAGTCTGTTTTTCCGTTTTTTCACCAGCATATAACAAGGTGTTTGTAGACAAGAAAAAGCAACTTATTGGGGCGGGTTTGAAAAAAGTCAGCCCACAGTTTTATGGCATTGAAATTAATTTTGTCAGTAAAACACTGGGAAGCATTTATCTGGCTTATATTTTACCCTTTCAGATCAAAATAAAGTTTGCAATATTAGCCACGAGTCTTCATCAGATTGTCTAAGCTGGCCTACAGCATAAACAAACACTCAATAGCCGTCTTTATTTTCCCCGTTATCTTCTACAGGGGAGAATGAATCAGACAGTGCAGATCCACTATCAAAATACCCAAATGAAAGGGCAAGTCTTTGATCCCGTCTTAACAGGAGAACCCAGCATCCTAGTTAGAATCTCTTGACAAGCATCTAAAAAAAAACAAATAGAACAGATCAGAACTGAGAAGAAGATAAATCGACTGCTGGCACAAATGAGACTTGAATGATGACTGTTTATGGTATAGAATGGCGGCGATTCGACCCTCAAAGAGAGGCTGTGTGTCTCCTCTCCTCCTGCGGGCCAAAGAGAGATTATGTTCCTCTTAAAAATTCACAGCGTTCTGCTGCAAAGACAATAACTCAGTGAAATGTTCCACAGCACATTTCCTAAATTAGGCATTATCACTGATTATATTCTAAACTATAGAGCACGAGAACATCTGTAACATCTCAAAGGGATGAGCCTCTTCCCATCTTGAGCAGTTTGGGTTTTGAGAAAGTAAAATATACTTTGGAGGTTAATGTAACATAAAAAACATGTTGAGGCCTGACTTTAGCACTTTAGGCCTAACTACCTCGCTGACAGGGGGACAAACAGGGAATCTGCACTTTAATCACCTACAGTGAGGCCTGTTATAGACACTTGTTTGCCATTATTAGATGAAAGGCATAGCACAACAAGTCACGCAGCAAGGGATGTCTCAAAACACATGATGGCTATATATATATGAAGTGTTTCTAGAACGGCAACAAATACATCTAAACCCCACTAAAACATTGTGGAAATTCTGTGTCTTTACATTTTTCAATGTTCAACCACAGTTTGAAGTTGTTTAAACAGAAGACATTGTTTACTTTCCTCTGTCTAGAAATATTTGCACACATTGAAGGAAAGTCAAGCAATTGGGATAAAAGGCTATCGAACTCCAATGGCTTCTATTTGGCTCGAAGAGACACAGAGTGCCAGTCTGCTCACATTATGGTATATTTTAATCTTTTTTAACAACACAGAGTACCATCGGAGGTGAGGGTTAGTATGGTTGACTTGCAGCAAACACCTTTCAGGGTACAGCCGTTGACTGAGCCTCATAGTGTTTGTATGGTTTCCTTGTTTGCTCTTGCATGGGCTCCTCCCAGGTACTCTGGTTTTCTCCTTTTACGTTTTCTTTTTACAAACTGGTAAGATTAGCTCACATCTTTGGAAATTCACAACGAAAATTCAATTTGAAAACACCAGAGGAGACTTTTTTAAACTAAAATGAAAATCCAACATCGCTGCTAGATTTCAACATTAAGTTAATTATAGTAAGAAATTGGAATTTATAAATTTGAACCTGAGATAAAAATGCCCCAATCTATCAGGACTTGGGTTAGGGTTAGGGTTAGATTTTTTTAAATACTTATAAAATAAATGGTCCTCCTAATTGTCAATCATTCTGGTGATACGTTTACATAAGGCCGTCCTACGTGCTCGTCCACATTTTCACTTACCGGTGGTGAGTCTGACATAGAGGAAACTTTTAAAATATATAAAGAAACTCCCACCATATTGCCAAAACTAAATATCATGATCACTGAGCACCAATCTTATAAGTTTTTGCAATCTGCAGGTGGAACTGAGTAAAAGTGGAGATGCCGTTACGCTGCGCATTATTTGTCTTGGTATTTAGAACCTCAATCTGTAAATCATGTTGTACTCGACCCAAATGCTCCAGTTTTCAATTGGAAAACCAGCCAGATTTGCAAACACTGGGCGTTGTGACCAGGCTAACTCCCGTTAGCAATAAAAGTCAACAACAATTTGTTTTCCATATTATAATACATCCCAAAAACTCACTGTGAGACATTTCTTAATGCCACACAAACAGGAAAGAATGCATTTCATTGTATATGTACCGTAAACAGGATGCACACTGGTGTAGTTGGTAGTATTGCGATGCAATGCAGCAATAAGGTATTTGGAATGTCTCTGGATACCATGGCTTTGTCCTACAGTTGAATAACATGACTGTTGTTGGTCTATAAATTCCCTTAAGAGTAGAGTGAAGCCAACAGAGTAAGAAAATACATTCTGGTGTTGGTTACAAGAACCCTACTGAAGTACATTCATATGTTTTTTGTTGATTGTGCTTGAACCAAAAATAATTGTCAATTTCCATTTCAAACAATACAGAGAATTTGATATTCAGTTTTTTTCTAAGAAAAAATAGCATGTAATTTGTGCTTGAACTGAATAGATGTTTTTTTTAACCATTTAAATGATTTAAAAAAAAGTCTGAAAAATATAAATGAATTTATAAGAATTAACAGCCAAGGTTAGTCTCACCAATGAATAACTAAACCATTCACTCTATCACTGTTTTACATTTTGAAGGACCTAAAAAAATTAAACATCAAGCTCTCCAATGGGATTAAATTATACATTATTTGTTATATATAATTGTTATACGAGATCAGACCAGAAACAGCTTGTTTATGTCCTGGTCAGCTGATGACTGCAGGCTTTTTACTTCAATAAAAAGTCTGACTTACAGATTGTATCTATTATTTCTCGCCACTGATCAATGATCTTTGCTGAAAAAAAAAAAACAGTTATAAAACTCTGACCCTTCAGCGTTCTAAAAATGAACAAGTGTTAATAAAATCATATGATCGCACAAGACACTGCACTTCATACCGAGGACAAATAGGAAATTGATGTTATGCATTCCTCAGTTTCATCTGTAAACTCCAAGCTGATTAGGCTGTTTACTTATTTGAAGAACTTCAAAAATCCATCTTAGATCATAATGGTTCATTGTTCCCTTGTAAGTCTGATATATTTTCTCTAAAATATCATAATTACTCCTAAAAACAATGCAATGTCTATAAAGTAATGTACTGTAATAAAAAAAAGTTCCAGATGGAATTAAAACCATTAAAATTCTTAACTTTTTTAAATTATTGTACTCTATAAATGTAATGTTCAGCACTTGTTAAAGTGTAACAACATTAGCTTTTATATTTTGGTAACAGCTCCTACCTAAACATTGTGACCATAATTTCCTTTAAGGTGTTTGTTCAGTCAGTCATCGTTCACATAATAAATAAATCTAAGGGTGACCAGTTTATGTGCATTGTGTTATAAATTTTAAAGGCCAAACCCATGGCCCCCCAGGAAAGTCAGAAACCCACACGCTTTACATACGTTTTCTCTTTGGTGTAGATAGAGACTTTTACACCAAACATGACATTTCCATTTTAGCGTTCTGACCGGCATATTTTTTGGAATTGTCAAGAGTTGTATTTGTTCGCTGCCACCAGGCACCGCAATGATCTTTTACATTTGTTCTAGTTGTAAACAAGCACATTTAGTCACTTTATATTCTTTTATTAACTTATTAAGGATAGTTGTTTTATGATTATGACTAATTCTTGTTTCTTTCATCTATTTCAACTCTTCATGATCCAATGGAGATTTTGCCAGAAAAAAAGATGGTTGTAAGGGTTCAGAGCACTTAAATGTATGAAGTGGACCATTGGACTGCACCACCAGCTGGGGAGGAAGTAGAATAGAATAGAATAGAATAGAAACTCCCTTTATTGTCCCATAAAAGGGAAATTCTGGTGTTTACAGTAGCAAATAGATTATAGAAAAAAAAATGGTCACACAAATATGGACCTTAGAAAAATGTATAATGTATAGTGAAGAGCTAAAAGATAAACAATAAAATACTGTACTGTAAAGTGTTTTAAGTGTATGTATTTATTTAGATTTTTGTTTTTAATTGTTTTGTTTCCAATGTTGGGTTTTAATGGTCTGGTCGGCCATTTAGTATGTTGTTCTTTTTTATTTATAAATACAGCTTTTAGGGTTAGAAAATAAGAAAGAATTATTCTACAAATTCCTTTACAGTAACTGCTCCTATTTGATTTAGTTTGGGTTGTCATATGAATGCATAAATCAATTTAGTTAAAGAACTTGTGGTTCAGAAGATTTCTCTGGGGTTAGGCTAGCTTATTTTAGCTTAGCGACTATGCAACTGATAATGGCAAATTGTCTCGATTGCTATTTGAAGATAACTTTTAAGAAGAAGGCAAATGTGGTGCTGCAAAACCAAGACTGATTTCCAGCAAAGCTTCTTAACCCTGGGGGGGGATAGCCTTTGGTTTTCAGGGGAACGCTTTATTTTTTCACCTTGACTAGATTTAAAGTAAGGTTTTATTCAAAGCAATTCTTACTGATTGTGTATTTAACACAATGTGCCAAAAAATAAGCAAATGTATCCTTATGAGAAAGATATTAATTAGTCCCAAAAAGTAAGGTTAATAATTTGGATTTTTCTTACGAAATCCACTTGTGTTTTTTTTTAAACAGTTGGACTTGCATGGGTTCTGCATACTCAGATAACATTATTAGAATGATTGGAGACATTTTATTAAAAATCATTTCTAACATTTTGTTTTTTGCTCAGTGTATATTCAGGAACCAAAGCCTGGCTTCATTTAGAAGTAGACTTGGAGACATGGGCGGTTCTAGACAGGGGCCAACGGGGGCCAGTGCCCCTGTAGATCATGTCCTGGCCCCTGTTATGGCCTCTGTATTGAAGACATAATACTAAAAGTATTCTAATGATGATATGCGCTGAAACACAGATGGTTACTGGTAGGTCCTTTGGATCTATTTAATTTTTTTATTTAAAGAATTTATTTTTATTAATTATTTAAAAAAAACAATAAGGCGATAGCCTCACTTATATTGAGACAGGATCCTAGTTTTCATCTGCTAAATGGTTTTTTTTTTTTAATAAATAAAAAAAAAAACTTTTACAGCTGTATTTATTGGTTTTTCTTGAGTTCTAATTCTGATTTATATAGAAATCTGTCATTTTAACTTAAAATAAATGTGTAAAATTCCTGAATTATAAATGTATATTGATCTAATATTTCAAATAATAGCTTTATTTTATCTTTTAGATATTTATATAGCTAAAAATTTTTTAGTTGCTTTTTTGCTATGCTAAGGGACTTTAATTTTGATATTAAGGATAATCCAAATGAAGATTTTTCAAGCCAAAAATAAATATTTTCAATTAGAAGACATATACATTTAATTAAGGAAATTTAACTTCATACAGATATCTTAATGTATTTGAATGCAATGTTTTTTTGTTTCCTGTTTTTCTGTGCCCCCATAAAAACACAAACATTTGGTCTAGAACCGCCACTGCTTGGAGAGTTTCTGCAGATACAGAAAGGAAACATTTCTGGCAGGATGTATTGTGAGCTGCTGTGATGGCAACACCCCCTTATTCAGATGGTGAGACGGGCCTGCTGGGAGCGTGGGAGTGTGACAGACGTTAAATCAAAGTGATATAGAGGAACTGATTATCAAGTAATGGGCTCTAGGTAACATGACAGAGTGGCTCAGAGCTGAGGGCTCATCATCATGCAAAAATGAGTCTGACAATCAAGCGCCTACAAGAATAAATCACAGGTAATCACTCCAGACTGCTCTTAAAGTAATGGCACTTGGAATAAAAGGATATGTTGGTGTTTTTTTCCAGCTTCTGCTCTAGTTATGTATATATTTTACTTTTTTCCCTCATTGGTCTATATATGTTATGAGCTGTGGCTTTCACTTTGACCTACTGCAATAACATCCTGTTCAGATTAGAATTAATTAATAAACTCCCCAATAATAATAATAATAATAAAACATCCAATAAACTGACTGACTTCAAATTAATAATCATGTTTTCCAATTTCCTTTTAAATCGCAATACATGCAATCATTTTGCCAAAATGTATTATTACTCATATTTTAGTAACAATGTGAGGATAAAAACGGATCCATGCAGAAGACATTTAAATGCATATATTTAAACTGTCACCTGTCTCAAGTTTACATTTATTGCTCGATTATTATTTAATTTGATCTTATTTTTTTTGCAGAGCACCGAGGCTCCTGGAGGAGCGCTTCCCAGGGAGTCACATTCATCTCCCCCATGATGCGGAGCGCGTTTCTACAGCCCGACGATCACAAGATGAGCCATGTGTGCAACACATCTGCTATTTTCCACATTAACAATCCAACAATGAACAAAAACGACATAAAAACCTCACCTATTAAGGGTTTAGGCGCTGTATTCCCCATTATATCCAGATATTCCTCTCACCGGCTGACAACTTAATCCCGATTGCAGCGTTTCTCTGTCCATCCATGTATCCTCGGACCGATGAGCACCTTTTCTCGCTTGGAGATGATCCTCCCAGATGAAGCATGGACGCGCTCTTCTTCTTAATGTCAACCCCAAGGCGCTGCGACAGGCGGACACCTCCAACTGGCGCACAGCAGCCCCCTCCTTTCCTTACCGTGGGCTCCCCTCTGCACGACTTTAAAGAAACAGTGAGCCTTCTGATGATTAACTCAGCGGTTAATTTGCGCTAATGAAAGACTAATGACTGTGCAGCCAATAAGAGACGCATACTAAACAAGAGGGACGCGTAATCTGAAGGGAACCTGTAGAAATTTCCATACAAAGTCAGGCAGACATGATGCTGAGAACTTTGAAAAGTCCTTCAGACTGGATAGATCTGATTGGTTCAAATGATCTGAGTACAGATATACCTAAAAGTGACCCTTAAATTAATCATGCACATCATAAACTAACAGATAAGGAGCCCAAACTCTTGATAAAATTCAAAGCACCATCTGAGGAAATCCCCCGTTTTCCACACCCTATCCTCTGCCCTCCCACAGCCTTGACTGCTGGGCTTCTCTCAAGCTGTTTCCTGTCTTCTGGATCTCTCTGCTCTCAGAGGAGTCATGCATGGCCTGCAGGGCTTGTAGGAATGAAAGCATCTGAAAGCAGATCTGGGATGACATGTCTCCTGTAGCAGCGAGAGCTAGAGAGAGGCCTGAGGTGCTACAGTAACCTCGTGTCATGAAGAGTGAACAAAGACTGCCTTTTTAGAGAATATATGTTATTGAAATGTTAAAGCGTGCTCGTACAGCTTGGACATTTCTGAGCAGACTGAGTCCCGAGACTGAGGCCAAGCAAGTCTTGTCAGCGATGGTGTTTGGTTGAAGGCAGACTGGGACTAAATATAACTCAGAGACAAAAGCATTTGTTTCTGTGTGCTCAATGCTGTTTGTTTTAGCAGGATACTGTGGCTCCCATATAGTAGACTTAGAGGAATGGTGTTTAGGGTAAAGCAAGGCAGAAATGTAAAAATCCCCCCCTACACCCTCTCTTTCTGTATCCTTCGAAATAAAAAAGCTGCAATGGCAAGGGGATTAACACAGGAAGTGAATATGAAGCTGCAATGATGTCTGCAATCAAGCTTCCCAATAAACACGGTGAAACAAGTGTTACTTCTCCCTGATGCCTCATTCACTGCCTGAGTGCACACTACAGTTTAAATGAAAGCAATATTATCACTGATTTAGTCCATGTTAGCATTTGTATTTTGTGGTTCATCCTCAGCTCAGTCAATAAAAGGTCCTTAGATGTTTGCAGGGCATTAAACATTTCTTAAAAACTGGCAGGACAAAACAAAGCAGTGGAGGAGCAATAGATGCCATTTGATCAATCAGAGTAGTTTTTTCATTAAACCTTTTCAAGGCATAATTTACAAAATGCTGTGCAGATATTTACTATTTTAGTTAATTTACCAAAATCCAGCAACATCTACAGCTTAAATACTCTATAGAAGATATTTCTAGAGTTCTGGCGCTTGTTGTATAACTGGAAAACTCCCAGAATGTGACCCTTTCTCTTTACTGACAGGGAAAGGAATGACAGGACTAATCTAGTGATAGTCACTAATCATATGAGAGAAACAGGACAATAGTTATTAGAGGCTGCTGCATAGATCCACCCTTTAAACTGTCAAATCTGCAGACAGGACAGCTATTGGACTTCTACTCAATAAATACGTATTTATTTCTTCAAATAGTGGCTATTAGAAACCCTAGAAATCGTCCTGCCTTCGTTGCAGAACACCAAACCTGTGAATGGAAGTACTCTAGTTAGACAAATAAAACTTTATCAATTAGATCCTAAACACAATGGCTGATAAATGGCCCTCTGTCTATTCTTGATCTACTTAAGTATCTGTGTATAAAAACACCAAAACTACGCAGCTTACAGTAGCTACTGACTGGGTTCAGATATAAATGCTGAATGATCTGTACTTATAAAGCTCTCTATGATGTCCGAGGAGCCCAAAGCGCTTGGCTCTACACTCAGTCATTACCCTATTCACACAGGCATGATCAAGATGTCCGGCCATCTAACCAAAACCTAACCTGACAACAGCCAGATGCATGTCCATCTCCGCCTAGCTCCACTATGTGAGTGGAGCTAGGCGGAGCTGGACATGCATCTGGCTGTTGTCAGGTTAACCAAAACCAGGCAAAGGGGCGAAGTCTCTCACCTGAAGACACTGCTGAGACGGACAGAGTGGGGGCTCAAAACCAACCCAATGGATACATGATTGCATGTCACAGAATTGCATCTGGAGCAAAATAGCAGCCGCAGTCTCTTTAGCTTGTTTTCCTTCAGGAATATGTACAACATATGCTGAACATCAAAACATGCAAAATAATTGGAAAAAGATATACAAATATAGTTACCACCTGAAATGCGATTCATTAAATGTGAAGCGTTTTGCTAGTTTTTCTAGATTTTTGTTCAGCGAAACTGGATCAATTATAGAGATGGGGATGGTGGGTGGTGTTCTATCACCTAGATTCATTGAAGATTTTTTTTCTATTCTGTGGTCTTTTTACTTTAAACACCACAAATTCCCTATTATGGGACAAAAAAGTGATTTTCTATTCTATTCTTTTATCACTGTCAGAAGTGAGAAAATAGAATGAATAATTTACAGTTCTGGAAAAGCAATGCAAAAAAAAAATTCTAATTTCTAAGTGACACTATTAAAGATCAGTTGAAACATTTACCGTGACTATTTGTGTCAGTTGGAAAATCCAGATACTCATCCGATTATTTTTGGGATTTCATACAAACAAAGAAAGTCATTTTTTTTCCTCTCCGCTGCCTTCATCTTCTAGACATAGAGATCATACCCGCCATCTTTGCGCAGTATGTTGCAAATTGTGTCTGCCAAACTCTCTAAGGTGACAGAAAGTAACGCAGGCCGATATAATCATTTAAATAGTACATTCTGCACCACTTTTGCACCCGTTGTCTCACCCACAACACTCCCACTAAATAGTAGTGTTTAGTGCTCCTTATCTGGTGCATCAGTAGATCAAGCCCTAATTGTGGTGGAAAACCAACACCCCTAAAAATGGAAACTCTAGGCATGAAAGTATAGTAGCCGCTTTGTGCAGTTAAGACAGTATTGCTATATTCAGCAGGGATAGCAAACTGGTTATATTTTAACAAAGCATTAAAGAACTAGTTAAGGGCTACAAAATAACTGAAACTGAATGTTTTTCAGCGTGAAAACTACTTTTAACGTGCATCCAGAATTTTTTATGAAATTGTTTAGATTAAAACATATTTATGTGTTTAGATAGCTTAGACAAAGTCTAGACAAAAGTTTCATTGGAAAATAGATCTCTACAAATTTGTCCTGTATAAATGTACATTTGCAAAGAAGAATCAGCAATGGCTTTTAGACTAAAGATGTGTAAAGCTGGAAGAGGCTTTAATAAATAGTATTTAAAGGGGACTGATGAAGAGTATATCATGATTGCAACAGAACTTAGTTTGAAAAAGAATATCAACAATCAGGGTTTCCAGATCTGACTGGTAGTTTCCAGCATAAACTCAATGAAAACCCTGCAACTTCAGCAAAAACCAACCCAAGTCTCAACCTTACTTAAAGCTGTAATATGCACAAAAAACTACACTAAAGACGAAAAAGATCAAGCTGAAAAGATGCCCATAAAGCAATTAAATATTCAACACATGTGCTTTCTCAAACATGTTGTCATATGTAATTATCTGACACCAACACAAATTTTGAGTCAAATTATTAAGGCTCTTAGGCCCCGTCCACACGAAGTCAAAACGAACACGAAACGTTGATATTTTCCAAAACGTTTGTCGTAAAGACGGAGACGTAAAATAAATGTGATCGTCCACACGAATGCATGAAAACGCTGCAAAATGTATGCCAGGCCTGTAAGTGGCGCTGTGGTGCCAAAGCAAAAATAAGCGACGAAATGTTGGGCATGTGCACTAATATTTATACATGGTTGCCCTGCGGGTCCATTTTCGTGGTTAAGTCAAATTCAGGTGCTGAACTATGTCGTCGATATTGCTCTGTTCTTCCTGGAGATATTCCAGAAGAAGAAGATTCTGTTGTAAGCCAGACATCAGGGTGAGTAGCATTAGCAGCAACGGCGCCATTGTTGTTGTGATACTGGTCGCGCATGCGTGTTTAGAGGCGACGCTATGACACATGCGTGTAAAAAAAAATATGCGGTTAGAGCGTAAAGATGGAAACGCGAAAACGGCGTTTCGAAATCTTCCCACTCTGAAGGCTGAATAAAAAAAAGATCGTTTACAGACCCCCGAAACGCCGGCTTCGTGTGGATGAGAGGCTGGTTTGGTGAAAAATTTGCGCGTTTAGGCCAGGGTTCGTCTTCGTGTGGACGGGGCCTTAAACTTTCTCTCTCATATAGCGGCAGAGCTAGAATTTTTTGCCTGGAGGCCAAGAGGGAGGCAAGGATATTTTAAGGGGGTCCATAAACATGAGAATTTTCTTTTTCTCAGTCATTTAGAATTTGAGTTAAATAGATTATAGAACCATGTTAAAAACAAAGGGAATGAGATTTTTACTTTGTAATTTTAAAAAATGGAATAATCTAAAACATAGTTTGTAATACGTCAGCGTGTAGATGTGTTTATGAATGGGTGACTGAAGTTATTGAAAACAGTGAAGTAAAATGAAGTGCCATGTAATTCATTTACCATTTAACCATAATAATAATTACAAAATTTGTGAAATAGTTTTTTTTACATTTCAATTTTAATTGATATAATTATGTACTGCACCTGTTAATTACGTATTGACAATTTCAGACCAGATTCTTTTTTTTTCCTTTATAAAAATGGACCAGAAGGATTTTTTTCTGCTTTGTTTTTTTTTTTTTTTTTTTTTTTTATGCACTCTTTCTACCTACTTTAAACCAACAAGTACTGTAGTGGGGGGATCAGGTGCTGTGACATGTCAGTCACCTGTAGGGAGCCACCTGAGGGAGGGGTCCAGTGTGCCCCGGCCAACCTTTAGCTCCGCCCCTGCTACACTAACACATGATTTTCTTCTATGTTTTGTCTATATCATGAAGCTGTGACCGGATTTCCATATTACCCTACTTCCAACAAACTTTTTTTGAATTTTTTTCTCTGATTCTAACTAATGCTGTATTTTAACATTAAATCAAACCTTAATAGTAAAGGCCTTTTGCAAACATTTGCAACGCTTTTTCATCCTCTTTACAATTGTGCAATAATTCGGTTAATCTATCATATAATCCCAGGGATATCTGTGGGGTTTACAGATGTGACATAATGTGCAAAAAAAGCTTGGCTGATGTATGATTACATCTGCAAGGTATAAAATGGGTTTGGAAGCACAAGCAGATGTCAACAGAAATGAAGTCTAATAATTTGTGTGCAAAAATGGAAATGTTAAACCATGTTGATTAGTAGAAGTTTGATATATTAGTAATAACACAGCTGAACATGGAGATACATCCAAGGTATTTTTCCTGTCTCTATTCTGTGCATAAAAAAAGCTTAAAGATAAAGTACCTGGAAGGAGATTGCATTTTCTTTCAGATGATAACACACATTCAACCATAGT